CGAGGTGAGGACGCATTAAAGGCCGGTATTTTGACCGTACCTTCACAGCGATCGGCAGTTGCGGAGGGTTGGACATCTTCTTGCTTCTTTGTTGGAGATTTGACTTTTAGAGGTATGGGGTTGCTTTGGTAGGTGGTGAGATGATTGTGGAGAGGGCCGCGAGGTGAGTTTGGCTGGAAATGGTTTTCCAGAGAAATAGAAAATAAGACCTTGAAGGTGTTGGTTGTTGTAATACGAACATCAGACAGGTTATAGGCTGTCTGCAGTTCGTATCTGGAGTGTATATGGTTGTTTTTTTTGAGTTGTGCAGTCGGGAAATCTCTGCAAGTCGGATTTTCGACCAAAAATGAGCCAATACCACTCCTCCCGATCGCCAACTCTACGAAAACTCTCAAATTCACCCTTTGTCGTGACTGAATCTCGGCTCTGGGAGAATATTTCACTCCCAGGTTCGTAGAAGACACCACTGACAGGTGTTGAGCCTTCGTCTTCCGGCTACAACGTCTTTATCTATCTACAGGTAAATTCTCCATATTCCAACCACGTTAGCCACACGGGACGTAGTATATAAAACTTGATTCGTATCATCATTTTGGGATTGAGGTTTACCGTGCATATGCTACTGAGTCCCATGTCTGACTACTATGTGACACGCTCAGTTATCAATCTAATAACTCACACCAAACAGAAACAACTTACAAACCTGATGATGACCCCATGAATAATTGGAACAATAGCCTGCAACATAGCGCAGTTAGGCTAGACATCGTTGATCAGGATCTAATCCGAACAACCCTCCCGGATCTAGAAATTGAGGACTCTTGTTGAGCAAAGTTATACTAATATGAATCTCTCTCAGAGTTGATTGAATTAATTATCCTCTACCATGAGGAATCTATCTAGGTACTATATACATCTTGAGTATCCTACTAATTCCAAATATAGACTGACTATTAGATTTCCCATGCAAACTGCTCAAATCTCCGTTCCATACATTGTTCTGAAATTGGCTGTTACATTATCATGGGCAATAGAGAAAGTGAAACAACAAGGGAGTTGTGCGCATGAAATTAGCCATCCGTCTAGTCGCTAGTTGTAACATTTGCATGACTAAGTTATTGCCCTTGATGCATCAGCCCAGTTTACTTGCTTGTAAACTACTCAACTTAGACATCATGATACAATATTGAAATTTAGGGTTATCTGTCTGACAACTCTAGATTAGGACTGGAGCTGCCAGGGCTAATTTAGTCAGATGGTCAGCAATCTCGTTCCCAGGGACACCCGAGTGGCTTGAGCGCCGTCGAATTCTTACTGACTCTGGTGTGGTGTTTAGACACTTGATTAAATTTTCGATCAGTTTAGATTTAGCATGACGCCTCGAGTCAAGCGATGATTTCCAATAACATCACCCTGGTGTGAGAGCCAATGCTTTACAGTCTTCGACATACCAAACAAATTTAGCCACCCGAGTGCCTGCCGGCCATACAACTAATTCAAATACCACGACACGGAGTTGGGCAAGATTCCTGGAGTGAAAGAAGTCGATGAATTGAGCGTTAAGCTCAGATAAGTACCCTGACAGTTGAAACAACACACAATTTATGCCAAATAAGCCAAGCTCTTCACCTTCTGACGGTGCTGGTGGGTATGCCAAATAAGCTCTACACACATCAGATAGTCAAGACGAGTTGCATCTCATTCGAATACGATAGTGAAAACATACTAAGCTAAATTCGCCGTTTTCTCATTAATATCGCTCCTGCTTTTGGCACAAAGAGTTCCATTCCAGTTTTGCCACACACACTTTCTTGCATTATTGGCTTACCATTGAGCCACTGCAAGGGTAAACGGATACTTTTCTTATAAATCACAGACTATCTTCTACTACCAAATTACGATACTATGTAGATCAGCAAGGAGTAAATAAATCATGATATATATAGCCCGGGTCTTAGCTTGTTGGGGACCGTAGCTCTAATGGGGCCCTAGAACTGGAGCGATGACAGGCAGTTGAGGTAAGTAATGAAAGAGAGATTAAGCCATCAATTTATATCGGGGGACTAATACCTTTCGACTTTGGGGTGCTCATGGTCGCCACGACCAAGGTTGCAGATAGTGTCATCGACATCTTCAAAACAAGACGCATTAACTCTGCTTTGACAGATGGATGGCTATTACAGGCCATTGCCTTGTAGATGGGATCCGGAGTTTATCCGGCTCCGATGAGTTGATTATGTTGGCGGTAAGCGAGACCACATCTAGGGGATAATCCCACAAGCATGTAATAATTCTCTTTAGACACAAAAGAAGCCCATTTTGGATACACTTGTACAAATATCTATTCACAATGGCGGAGAAAATGACTATGGTGATCACGACAACAATTGGCGCAAGTTAAGATGTTGGAGGAATTTATCTCTTGGTGGACGACATCAGGGTGTTCAGGCAAGGTGCAGGGCACCGGAGTTGGAAATTATTTCTTACCGTTCTTTCTTAGCTCAAATGGGGTCTGTCATTTCTCTTGATAAAGATATGTGGGACACGGTATTACGTTGTAAATGTTGACTAATGAACCCTATAGCTACAGATGAAATCTATGTACTGCTATGAAGGTCATGTGACCTGTCTAGCTTAGTTTACATGAGTAGGTGAAATGTTACCCCTAGACAATTTCGGTAGTGTTGATTTTTTGGGACCAATAAGCCGTGTCATCTCAAACCAAATGAGTTATCATGGTTAAAAATATAAAATAAATATAGTTTCTCCAGTGTAGATTCTAGAAGTCCTCCACAGCCATAATCTTAGATAGGGCTATAATTATATTTAATCTAATCTAATCAAACTAGACGCGTTGCCCGTGCCTGGTTATTAAGATTATGTGCACATACGGTTTGAATCTATACCTTGGAAGGATGCAATATGTGTTCCTAGAACACCAACGTAGATATCAAAAAGACTTGTGTTAAATAAAGAACGCTTGTATTCTGATGACGTAATCTTACTCTTACTGCTAAGAAACACATCTCATAATATATATATCATGGATAGCCATATCACAGTTTCTACACTATCCAGTACATTCCATTCCAAATCTATGATGCCTCAGTAATGGGTTGCCCTCAAGTCCATGTCCTTGGACTTGCATGAAATATTGGCATGCATAAATCTGCACAGATCTGGGATCTCTTGGCTGATTATAACACTAGTATGCTAAAATACCAAGCGGGCCGGCAAAGACGAGTTCTTCGCCTTCCAGTGGTGCCGGTGTAATCGCATCCGAATCGAAATCGAAAGTAAACACTAGCGTATCTCCATCTGACGATTTCTCAATCATGCAGCACTCACCATTATCTTCTGAGTCCTCAACCTCAATCTAACCACATATAATCTCGCTTCAACGACCGATAAAGGCGTCACCCAAATTGTAGACAGGAGCTTGTCTCATTGATTACCGGTCATCACTCACTACAAATTTACGACGCTACGTATACCCGCAAGGAGGAAATTAAATCAAAATATACAAAGATCGGGTCATGGTTCATGGGGGACTGTTGCTCTAAAGGGGTTATAAATCTTGAGGAAGGACAGGCGGCTGAGATGTGGAGCGAGTGGGGGAACAGGCCTCTGAAGACCATGCTGGGACCGATATTTTTGAGGAGTTCTCAACTTTGGAGTTTTTGTGGGCGCCAAGACCGAGATTTCTGCTATTTAGCCAGGAGGACTTCCTTTGTCGATGAGTCAACGACACTCCCCACCGCCCTGGCAGCACAAAAGAAGTTGGGCTAAGCTACCATACATCAGTCACGCTCTATCAAGACTTTTCTGACATTTCAACACGACTTTCGGGAAGGAGTTGGATGGAGGCTAGAAAAGCAGAGTGTGAATTCTCCGAGGTACATACAAGTCTGCAGCGCCCAGCTGGCTGGCCTCTTCGAACGCTTCACAAGGATCACTATCTCTTCGGATTTAGTCCTAATGTCGGTATTAGGAGAGCTCCGCACCCAGTGGTCTTTTCGATTTTCCCGGCTGCCAGACACCCGCAAATGGCCATCGTTTCGTTGGCTGGAAAGGGGAGATGATGAGGGGAAAAGGGCTCCTTTAAGGATATGATCGAATGAGGACTTGTGAAGGATCGTTCTGTTTGAGGGAAGCTGTATGGGAGGCAAAGGAGGGGATATACTACTGGTATGGTATCCTTGGCCCGTAGGTAGAGAGTACCTACATGTCCTAAATAGTCATAGACTCAGAAAGGACAATAAAATGAATGAATGAATGCCAAGCATCAAAGTTTGATACCAAGACTGTTTTCATTACTGCGTGGCACTCTCATTCACTTGAGTGACTGAATAACGCGAATGATGATGCCGGCTACTTTAATTCAAGTCTATTGTCTAGTTATTCCTCAAATTGAATGTCCCGATCCGTGAGAGCCGGTCACATGGGTGGCTTTAGGGCCTAAGGCTTCCATAAATCTGACATGCATCAGCAGTGATGGGGATTCCCGGCACATTCAAGTTATCAATTCATAGAACTTCCATCTTGATATCAATAGTCTGAAAGCTTACACATGATACATGTCATGTAACCAATTACATTTTTATCTGGAAATATAAGTATTCTTTGATCATGTGCTAGCCTAGCTTCGTCATGGCTTCAAGGATCAATTGAATGAGATCTCTTGTACAATTACATTTATCTCTCTAGTCCGAAGGATTGCTTGATGATTTGAATCTATCAGGGATCTGAACTAATTTGTGTTGGAAGTACTTACAGATCGAAATGAATTATAAAAAAAGACGACCTTAAAAGACACAACAGAATGCCTCAGCCAACATCATTCACTCATGAATTTGCGTTCAAAACAATGGAATTATTTGACTTGTAAGTCTTCTTATATTTGGTTTGGATACATGTGGTCCCTAATTAAATGAAAACAGAAAGTTTTGGCCATCTAGCTCCTCAAGTCTGAAGAGAGAATCGCCAGAGACCAAAACAAAATGAGATCTCTTCAGTTTGCTTCGCTTTCCATCTTTTTTGGCTTTTATATTTTAGGGAGTTCTGCAGAATATAAATGTTCTAGCCGAGCTCGATTCTCGGATGAAGAGGTCGAGACGAGGGCAAATGCCATATACAGCAGAGGTGAAGAACTCAAAGATTATCTAACAGATGGACAAAATAAAATGGAGGACATAGGGTTCTTTGGGAGCGAAGCTTATCATGATTTAAGGTTTGAAGCTGCCTTTATCCCTGCATCCGGAGGTAAATTAATTTCCTCACTTGCATCAAAAAGCAGCTGCTAATAATCTCCTGCACTAATAGCAAAATGCCACTATCAAATTCGGGTTTCTTATCCATCAAGAGAAATATATCTAATAGAGTATAATGGTTACATGGCTCAACCCTGCCGAAAAAGCTAGGATATTGAATAAAAAAGTAATACCAAAATAACCGAACTTCTTTGTGTAAGAAAAGAAATTGCCAGTCATTTAAAGGCTTCAGGAGGCGCTCTCATCCATTATATTCTAGTCATGTCGGTTTATCTAAAACGTAAAAGTTGATTTATCATCATGTGGGGATCACATGATGACCTCAGCACAGATGCGCTAGTCAGAATCCACAGTTAAGCTGTGAATCCTGTACGGCGTAGGCAAAAGACAATTATGAATATTTAGACCAACACAGAATCGTACAACTCTTTACTGAATCCTTACGATCGATCGTGAAACCACACTGTAGTAATTCCAACAAGTCACGAAGTTAAAGTAAACTTTTCCTAACACTAATTTTATAGCTTGATTCAGAAGATGGAGAATTTGACATAGATAAGAGTATATGAGCCAAGCTCCAGGAGGAAGTATAGTTACTTCACTTCATTCTGATAACCAACATAATTACGTGCTTCCGGGCTGAACTAAGTTTTTGGATTCGGGCGAGATTACAAATCGCCGGTGCAGTCAGACTTATCACTTGGATTTTATTTGCATCTTATTCTTCTGAGAAATACCAAACGGTTTTTTATTCGTAACTTTTCTTATGTGACATCGTATTATCGGCGAGTGAATGATTATTTCCTGTTGTGAGATGCAAAGCTACATTTGCAGCCAGATTGGTACTTGAGAAGACTTGTAATTTTGACTCAATCTAGGCCGTCATTGGCGAAGTATGGATTTAGGCATGCACCTCGACAATTTTTTGGTAGGAGTTTCTTGAGCTACTTGAATCTGTGACTATCCAGCACGTTGGGCTCTTCTCTGACCCATGCCATACTTTGTACAGTGCTCCTTGCCTCTTTTGTTATCTGAAAGATCATTGATATATTGCCCGTGATGAATAGCCATTCAGCTCTGTCTTCACCAGTGGAATTCGGCCACCTTTTCCACGGAACCTTCTACCCAAAATAAAAAAAATGGTCGCAATGGGAGCTGCATGCGCGGGAAAAAGTCTCCAAAAAGCTGCAGCCCCAGCCAGGCGAGGCCTAGACATCGGAGCCACATGAGGTGCGCATATTCATCAATATCTCCCTTCTTTGTAACAGTCGAGGTCAACTTGATCCAATCCACCATCTCCATATCGGGTGTTAGGCATACTCCGAAAACTTATCGGATGGTTTTTCCTCCATGATCAAAGATTAATGTCGTTTAAAAGGCGAATGGCGTAGGGATGAAGGGCTTGTATTATTTGAATTTAAATTTGAATTTGATTTCAATTAACCCGATCAGGCACCCTATGGGTCCATGCAGGTGACTATCTGCATTATTTACAAAGGAGGAAACCAATTTGGTGACAACCCCCTGATCCTGTCTTTTTATGTTCCTATCAATTTATTTGGTTTACCTTCAAGAAGTGCAGTGTACACTGTTCAGCCCGTGTGGATTCCGTCCTCTCCCCTTCCAGATCTATTTACTTTATCCGACATTGCTACCTCGACTTCTCCTGCCTGTCGAAACTGTTTTATCCACCCTTTGTTTAGTATTCACTGTGTAATTCTGGCCATGTCTTCTGGGCTGTTCATCATTGCTTCAAATGACCTGTCTTTAGCTTGTCGGAGAAAGTCGCCTCTTCCATTTGCCAACTGCGGACACGCCAACACCATGTGCTTGACGTTTTGCGACGGACATCCACATTGTCAGCTTGGCTTTTCTACTCCGGGTACTTTTCTCCTGCACAGGTGAGAATTGAGTCCGATATGCTCGCTCCTTAGTTGAATGGCGACACTGCTTTGGGCCCTGGTTAGGTTACGGTGGATTTTTAAGGGGGTATCTTTGAAGTTCATTTTGACTCTGCCTGTTTGCTTATCAGTAAATATATTTGCCGCTTTCCAATATATCCTAGGACTTAAAAATATAAATTAAACAACAAACAACAACACAATTCGAGAAATTCGAAAATTCCCTTTTTTCCCATTTTCCCCCTCCAATCACTTGTCGTATATCGAAAGATCAATTTCTCGTGGTACCGCGCCACTCAGCCTTGAAATGGCACCGGTACCCCCAAAATCCGCGAAACCCGCGAAATCTGTGTTAACCTCCAAAATAGGGAAACACAACCACCAGACAAGTCTGGATACCCCGAAATCCATGCGTGAAATAATTAGAAGCGTGGCAGGTCAGAGAATGAAAGGCTCTGGACTGGTAGCTAACGCCTCCGATCTCGACCAGATGGAAGTCGACATTATCTCACAATTGGAGGAACGCGGCCAAACCGACACTGTGATGTTGGAAGCCGAAAAAATAATCAATGAATTGATAAACAAGGGTCTAAAAGACTCACGATGGGCAAGCGCAGGAGCTGAGAGCTCCCTAGAGGCGGTAAAGACCCCGGAAATTGTCGTCGAGAAAGCAGTCTCGACGAAACCAACGACCGAGCCCGCACGCCGTGCGGCTAGAAAAATTGCTGTTCCCGTAGTAAAGCGGACATCAATCAAAAGTATACCGACGGGAACGGAAGTCCCCACTTGCACAGAGGCAGCAAATGCCTCAAGACCTCAGCCACCCTCGGCCTCGATTCCAGGGACGGCTGAGTGCCACAACTACTCTTCTGGTGGTGCTCCCACCGGCACCACGCCAATTCACCCGCCGGAAATAGAGGCTTTACTCGAAGCCGAAAGAAAGCGGGCTGCAAACACCTCAGCCAGGCTCGAGATAGGGTCAACGGTGTTAAAAACATTGGAAAGTGTTATCCTGTCCATGAAAACGACAGATAACAAAGAATACTTGGACGCGATGAACGTGTGTCTGAGGGGCGCCCTCGCCCACTTCCTGCGCACTGGAACCACACCAGTGCCGACAAGCCTTCCCCCCCGCCCCATCGGCCAGCAGGCCAGAAACAGCGGGCCCTCACCACCATCGACCACCAGGACAGCAAATCCTGCCGTCGCGGTGCCCCAGGTCACTTCAACCTGGGCAACTGTAGCCGGGGATCAGTTACCAAATCACCCGACGCCAGTGATAGCAAGTGGTGCCCCGAAAAAGCCGACCCCGCCGACCAAAAAATCGGCCAAGACGGCTCCTTCGTCCTCGCCGGACAACCGACTGTTCCTCCGGCTAAAATCAAAACATCAGTGGCGAAATCTTTCGCCAGCTGGCATAAGAGAAGCGGTGGCGCAGCTGACCAACGCGCCTCAGGCAGCAATTGAACACGTCTACCGTGTCCCAACTGGCTTCGCACTCAGAGCGAAGAACCTGGAATCTCGCAAGCTCCTATTGAGCGCGGCGGAATCTTTCCTCCCAATCGAGGTAAGGCTAGAGGAGGCCTCGGACCTTGTCGCGCTCCGGATCTCGACGGTCCCTATCGCCATTCACACCCTCCTCGGAAAGGTGCATGTGACGGAGGAGATGGTGATCGAGGAGATCACGCGAGTCACAAAGGCCGTGCCAGTCAAGGTACGGCCCCACGGGAAAACTCGCCTTGACGCTCCATACCAGTCATGGCTTGCCCATTTCAAGAAGGGAGCAGCACCAAGACAAGGATTCCGCCTGTTCGACGACTCGGGCGTCGCGGTCCCACACAAGCCGCGACAGACTGTGCAGCAATGCAAACGCTGCCTGCAGTTCCATGGAACGCGCGGTTGCTCTCGCGCTCAAGCCTGTGGGAACTGCACCTCCACGATGCACTCGACAGACGAGTGCCGTGCTCACACCAAGTGCCGCAACTGCGGAGGACCGCACAGGTCCGACAGTCGAACCTGCCTGGCGCGCCCAACTAAGGCCGGACCCGTTAGCAAAGAGCAACTGGCCAATATTCGCATCGCGAGCCAACGCGAGCTAGCGGCCGTGGTGAGGGCTAAAGCTGCAGCCCGTCGCGCTGAGGCAGCAGTACAAGCGGCTGCCAAGCAAAAGCAAGCCGCACCTGGAGCAGTGAAACCAAACAACAGTTTCGAAGTTCTGATGACCGACGTCGCCTCCGACGCCACGGCCACAGGAACGACGAATCCTGTTGAGTCCTCCTGAAGGGCCCCACATGGGTCCCTTCTATCCTCCCACTTACGATAAGTTTTATGTCGATCAACGTAGGTAGGGGAGGCCAATCACATGACATCGCGCTTTCCCGAGCTTACGAGCTAGGCGTCGATGTAGTGTTAATACAAGAACCTTCGTGGAAAAAAGCCACAAAGGAAACAAAGTCACACCCTGGATACGACTGTCATATACCACATGGCGGCGTAAACATTCGACCCAGGGCTGTGACTTATACACGAATCAATACAGGGAACCTTTCGGCAAGACAAATCTTTCCCTGCCATCCCCCGACGGCGGATTACTGCTGGGTTGTGGTAAACGGAGTCACGTTTCTCAACGTGTACAAGGACCCGAACGACCCGACGGCCATTCGACCACTCCTCAGCTGGGACCCACCACCACGATCCGTCGCGGCTGGCGATTTCAACGCGGTGCACCGCGCATGGCAACCAGATGCTGCCCGCCCACGCGGACAAGGAATCGAAATTGAGAGATGGGCGGAACGCCATAATCTCACTTGTCTGATTGTGGGCGAGCCAACGCATCGAGCCGGAAACACGCTGGATCTTGCCTGGACCAACATCAACGGGGCCCAAGCATGGGTGGGTCGCAGCGAGTGTATAACCAGCGACCATCTTCCGATTCGAGGACAAGTCCCCACCGGATGCGGAAAATGGGACCATGAGCCATCGCCGATTAGGGTAACGCGCGGAAACTTTCCGAGGTTCTCCCTTGCCATGGCGCAATTCACTCACCCGCCACCAGTGTTGGACTCGGTTTGTCAGGTGGATGAATACGCCAACAATCTCTGTTCCGGCCTTACTAACGCTTTCAAAGCAGCAGGAACACGAAGGAACAAAAGACACGGCAAATGTGCGCCTTGGTGGACTCCGGAATGCAAGCTGGCTCACACGGAATATCGTGCAGCAGTGACTCCGGAACAGCGATGGATACATTCA